TGAGCTCTGATCATCCAGTCATTGAAGTCAGGTCAAGTGGGTATTATCTGCAAGTGTGGGTGTTACGCAAATGTCCTCTCTTCTTATCAGCTGGACGCTTCACTCTCCACTCTAGTCTTCTGTGGCTATGTCACTGACTCTGGGCCCAAAAGTCCCCAGGTCTTGCCACACTGCTGGCCAACCAGGTCTCCACCCAGGTTCACAAGAGTCTATTGAACATCGTAGGACTTAGCTCACAGCTTCATTGCTGTTTTTCCCTCACTTCCCTTTATTGGTGATGAACGTGGTCACCAATCAGAGCTCATGTCTGTTCGTGTATTCCCATTGAGTTTTAGTCTTGGGAAGGGGTTTGCCCTGAGGCGATCCAACCACTTGCCTTGATGTCTCCTGGGCAAGCAACTTGCCTGTTCTTGTAGTAATCAGTTGGACTGCCTTCATTGTTTTGTATTTTTCCTGTTGGTCTTTCTTTCAAGAAGTATCTTCTGTTCTTCTAGCTGCTCCAGGCTGGTCTGCTTATCCTTTCCAGGGGAAATTTCCCACCTCAGAAAATTCGGGATGAGGTTCAGGACTCCACCTATGGTTTTATGTAATGCAGTGGCTCTGCAGGAAGCCTCCTTCACTGGGCACGTTATAGTCCCATTTTAGGCATTCCAATCAGTTATAGGTAGAAGACAGACTTACAAGCTTTCTATGACGATACTTCTGGCTATTCCTTTCTCTCCCCATCAAGTGTTTATTTTATAATGGTATGCCAAGGAAACCAAGATTCAAAAGACAGCCAAGCATCTTAACATTATTTCTCCCCTTTTGCCCATTCCAACCATGTCTCAATCCCTGTATCCCAAAGCCCTGTTGTTCAAAGGTTGTGCATACATTATTATTTACCTCTTTCCCACTTAGCCCATGCAAACCTGCCTAACTTTTTTCCCATCTGCCTTGTTCCAACAATATTCTTAAGTACCTTCTGAATCACCAATTAAAAATGACATGATGTTCTTTGAAAAACAACTTCTCATACTCCAGTTCATTGAATCAGCAATCAATAATTTTTATCTATCAAACTCTTCAGCTAATCAAAATATGCTAGTTCTTCTCTTTTGGATAAAGAGTAAGTACTGTCCAACATATGAAAAGTTGCATTTAGTAAAATCCAGTTCATCGAGGCTTACTTTTAGTCTCTCTCCCCTGTTGAATCTGTAGATTGGAGAAGCCATAAAGAAAGGCTCAGAGAACGACTTGTTTCTTCACTATATCTTCATGGACAATGCCTTTGAACTCCCCACTGGAATTGGATTGCAATTGCAAGTGTCCTCATCTGGAATCATCACTCCTGGGACCAAGGCTGGACTGAAACTTGAACTAGCCAATGTAAGACATTGTTCACTTTTTTATTCTATATGTTCTTTTCCTCCAGAATAGGTGTCTGGTACAATTTTAAGGTCTGTTTCTAGTTCAAGACAAAGCTCATCATTATTATAATCACCTTCTTAGTTGTTATTATAAGTGTTAAGATTTCCTAGGGTGCTCTGTCTCACTAACTCCAATGTGATAGGCAAGAACACTAAGTCTCTGCTGCTTTCTCAATAAGTGAGAATTCCTGTCAACTTTTCATTCTGTTACATTTAAAGTTCACTTGGGTACTTTCTAGTTCTGGGTATCAGTGTACCCTGGCAATGAGAAACTGAATACTTGGCTTTGCTTTCTCCAAACAAATCACAATAGTGCTTGCTGAGGTATGAGTCATGCAGAGATGCTTGCCCAGGGATGACTGACTGTCACGGACTGAGGTATTTTTACAAAGTTGAAAATGCTGTTTTCTAACTTATAGATGCAGGCTGAACTGGTGGCAAAGCCCTCTGTGTCAGTGGAGTTTGTAACAAATATGGGCATTATCATTCCGGACTTTGCTAGGAGTGGGGTCCAAATGAACACCAACTTCTTCCATGAGTCAGGCCTGGAGGCTCGTGTTGCCCTGAAGACTGGGCAGCTGAAGTTCATTGTTCCTACACCAAAAAGGCCAGTCAAGCTGTTCAGTGGCAGGTAATTCTTTTATCCAGCTCTGTCTGCTTTGCCAATTTAAAAGAGAAATTTGAGACTGTATTTGCAGAATTTGACCAGACTAGACAGCTACTGAGACACATTTAGGCCATAGTAGACTGGGAGATTTCTGGATTACCTATTTTTAATTACCTATTTTAATTCAACCTCAGTAAAGAGTCCTGGTGTAGCATTGTCAGATAAGTACTGGACTGTTAACCGCAGGTCAGCAATTTAAACCCACCAGTTGCTCCTCAGAAACTCTATCCAGGGTTGCTATGAGTTGGAACCAACTTGATGGCACTTAACAACTTGTTGTTAGATTGTTTTTGTTTTCTTTTCTCTTTTTGTTAGAATGAAGAAACACTGCTGCTGTTGTTGTTGTTTTGTTAAGGGCCTTCCAGTTGGTTCCAACTCATAAGGACCCTGTATAAGATTTCCAAAGCTATAAATCTTTTCAGGAGCAGAAGGCTCATCTTTCTCCCATGGCGCAACTGGTGGGCTCTAACCACAGGCCCTGTAGCTTACAGTCCAGTGCTTATTTACAGAGTCACCTTGCTTCCTGAAAAAACAGTAGCTCTGGAGAAATTGTCCTCAGGAAATTAACATTTTCCCCAGGAAAAATACCAAGGGACATACCAATTTGTGTTAGCTAGCTCAGTGGCACTGTATGATCAGTACTGGACTTTTAACTGCAGGGTCAACAGTTCTAATTCACCAGCTGGTCCTTTAAAACCCTATAGAGGGTCTCTAGGAGTCAGAACTGACTCAATGGCACTTAACAATAACAACAGCTCAGTGGGTATGGTTAAGCATTCAAGTGCTAAGTAAAGGTTGGGTACTCAAACCCACCTAATAGCTCTACAAAAGAAAAACCTGGAAATCTGTTCCCGTAAAGATTACAACCATTCTATTCTGTCATGTGGGGTCGTTATGAGTCAAAATTGAGTTGATGTCACCAAATAACAACAGCTTAGTGGGTAAAGCATGTAACTTTATGGTTTGAAAATACAGCCTTATATTGAAAGGTCTACTTTCAATGATATACATTCCTTCATTCATTCAAAAATAGTGTTTAATTGCCTAGTATGTACCAAGCATATTGAGAGACACAAGATCCCTGAGCTTCCAGAGCTTTCAGTTTACAAGAAAAACATACAATTAGACAAGTAACAGCAATGAAGAACACTGTGTTAGAGGATGCATGAGGGTGGCATGTAGCCTTTGTCATGTAGCCTATGGTAGTTAGAAAAAGCTTTCTGAGAAAAGTGATACATAAACTAATATCTGAAGGTTGTGTCAGAGTAACCCATCAAAAACAAGACCTAGGGAAAAGCTCTTGTAATGGTCTAGAAGAAAAATAATACAATTATAGGAATTGAAAGATGTTCAGTATAGTAAAATGCAAAAGTAAATTAATGAGGGATACCTGGAGATGAAGACGCCTGGAGTGGTACTATAGGATAAGCACTGTACTATGAATCATAAGGTCTGTGGTTCAAACCCACCATTTACTCCTGAGAAACTCTATATAGAGTGGCTATGAGTCAGAACTGACTGTACTGCACTTAACTATCAAAACTGTGGAGATGTTATAGAGGTCAGGCAATGATAAGATTTATAAATCATTTTAGGAAGTTAGAACTTCTTCTGAAGGCAAAGGAAAAATAAAGTTGGTGTACTAGAAGAAATACTCTATGCCAGTGTGAAAAATGGGTGGGAAACAGGCACAATTGAAGAAAGGGAGACTAGTTAGGATTCTGTTACAATGGTAGAGGTGAGAGATGGTAAGAGTCTGTACCAGCAGAGGGCCAGGGTGTAGGGAGGAGTGAGTAGAAGCTAGGAAGTGTTAGGAGATGAGTAGTTGGTGATTGGCTGGATATTGGAGGTGATGAAAAGGGAAGAGGAAAAGTGAGTAGGGTGCCCTTTATTTAAATTGGGACTACAGAGGGAGAGAAACTGGTTTAGAAGATAGGGTCCAATTTGGATATCCTGCAATTGAAGTCCTGTGATGAAGCCATTTATAAATAACTAGATGAATATTGGACCTGTCGGCCAAGTACCTATACAGGTATATGCTGGTGATTCCCAAATCTAATTTGGAGCTCAGTAAAGACATTTGAACTCCAAATATAGATTTGGGGATAAACAATGTATAGAGATACTTGAGGTCAAACAGCAATTGGTTTAAGTGAGAAGTAAGAGACTACCATGAAAACACAAATATTTGTATTAAACGTTTAATGGAGAAAAAAACTAAGCAACTAAGAATGAGAAGGAATGACCTGAAGGACGGTGAAGATGGTAAGTAATTGTAGAAACGGAAGAACAACCATGAGGTGGGTGACCCCAGAGGCAGGCTAGAGTGAGTGGTTAAAGTTCTACCACACCAGATAGCATGGTCTTAGTGGTCTTAGGACATCCTTAAGTGGAAAAGAATAAGCTAGTTCAAAGAAAGTATCCTTGTACAAAACAAAAAACAAAAAAACCTTGTACTTATGTATGGTTTACTAGTTTTTCAAGTACGCATTTGGGAGAAGGGCACCATATCTTTTTAGATGTTAGGGTCTTTAAAGTCTTAATCTTGTCATGGGTAAGGAATTCTTCTGAATGCTTCTGAGAGTTCAAGGAAGATAAGGTATAAACAGTTCCCTTAGACTGAGGAGCAAGAAGGTGATTAGAGATGCTGACAAAAGTAGTTTCAGGAACATGATGGTGGGGTGGTGGGGGTGGCAGTCAGATCATAGTTTATTGAAAAATGTTTGAAAGAAAGTAGAGATTGCAAAAGCAGAAAACTCTCTTAGGAAATTTGTGAAGGGGATAAGAGTGAGCTGTAGCTAGAAGGGAAAGAAAGATGTGTATATGTGCTTTAGGGAGTGACTTGAGCCTCTTCAATGTTGGAGGAAAGACTACAGACAATAGAGGTGGGGAACACTCTTATCTAAATGACATCAGATGAAGGAAGAAGAATGCCTAAATTCAGATAGCAGAATCAGTAATTTAATATCTCTGAGCCGCCAATTCCCCTATAAAATGGGAATCCTAGTTCTTATTTTCAGATTTGTTGTAGGGATTGCTGATAGTAAACATAAAGAATTTAGTACAATGTCTGAACCACAAAAATAACTATAACTGTCATTGAGATTCTTTCAGGACGTAGCGAAGGTATGGCAGGTGTGGCACATGCCCTGGGTGGCACTTGAAAGGGATCCCACCGAGCATTTTCTAATAACCATCTCAGTTTCCATTGTCTGCTGTAAGAGATCAGCCAGGAAGTTAGAACTAATACTTTTGTATTTGAGAGTCTCCATGAGTCAAAGCAGACTGTGATCTTGTTCTGTTGATTGTAGACAGAGACGAAACTGGGGAAAAAATTTCTTTGAGCACATCAAAGACCAATTTTCCTCAGTAAAAGCAAGGAAGGTGCAGTTGTAATTTTCACATAGTACCAGCATGTGTTAAGTACAATATTAAGAGTTTGACATACATTTTTGAGCTGATAATATATGGTAAAGTTATCTAAAAGATGGGTGTCAAATGTTTAGACAGGGTCGTGATTTCAATGTATACCATACGTACTATTTTTGTAGATATGCCTCTGGATTCTTTACATTATTATTTATTTCTCAGTAACTCAAAGACTTCAATGTGGGTATGGACAGAGGGGAGAGAAACAGGTCAGTTTGAACCACAAGGTCCACAGCTCAAACTCACCAGCAGCTCCTCAAAAACCCTATGCAGGGTTGCTATGACTCAGAACTAACTCAACGGCACTGAACAACAACAACAACAACAACAGAAGATAACTCAGGTTTTTCCTTTCTTCACTAGTAACACATTGCATTTGGTCTCTACCACCAAGACGGAAATGATTCTACCTCTGATGGTGAACAGGCAGTCCTGGGCAACTTGCAAGCCTTTCTTTACCGGCCTGAACTACTGTACCACTGGTGCTTACTCCAATGCCAGCTCCACAGATTCTACCTCATACTACCCACTGACTGGAGACACCAGGTTAGACATGCTCCAGGTGCAACCCACCACTTACCCACTTCAGCATTCTGGCCACCTAGTGGGACAAAGGAAGAAGTGTTGTGTGTTGTAGACCTTTGTCAGTAGGGATTTACACCATCCTTTGATTATGTAAAACAGTGGCCCTCTGCCCCATCCCATCTAAAGTATGTTCACACTCCTACCAAAACTTTAACTCTAGGCTGGGTGTCTCCACAGATGGGGGGTGAGGGGGGTCTGTTGTTCAAAAAGATACCCCAAGGTGATTCTGTTATACTCCCCCAAGGGAACTGCACCCATCACAGTTGAAAATCATTTCTTTAAAACCACCTTATGTGGCACTATAGGTTAAGCACTAGGCATCTATCTGTAAACCTACCAGTCTTACCTTGGAGACAATATACAGGGTCTCTATGAATCAAAAGAGACTCAACAGCACTAAACAGTAACAACTTGTAAATGATCTCTTCTCTTTTCCCTTAGTGTTAGATTAGGAGACCTAGTTTGCTCCTAATCCAACTTCTGTGGTTCTGAATCTTTAGAGACACTGGTTTGGCTATTTCTAGAGCTCATATTTAAGAGTTCCTTGCTGTCTCTGCTCTCCCCTCACTTTACTGGTTTGCAGTCAGCTCATGCTCTTCTTGTCTAAAAAATCCTGCCATTCCTGGGTCTGTCTTTGCCTAGGGATCTTGGATGGGCCAAAAAGGATCATAAAGATTATCATTAGTTAAAGATCAGAGACAATGTTAAAGTAAGAGTCAAATTTTTGTTGTGACTGTCGCTGAGTGGTTCGGGGGTACATCAGATTCATCACTGGAAAATTCTAACATTATAACTGAATTTTACCACCTTTAGATTTGAACTGGAACTCAGGCCAACAGGAGAAGTAGAGCAATATTCTGCCAGTGCAACCTATGAACTCCAAAAAGAAGGCAGAGCTTTAGTGGACACACTGACGTTTGTAACACAAGCAGAAGGTCAGTATCTGAAAAGGGCTCCTCCATCCCTGCACACAGTCTCAGAATTATGACTCACAAGAAAAACATGTTTCACTTAATGCTTTCAACAAATATTGAGTAAGTATCTGATAACCTTTGGTTCTTAGGGCTGGGACTAAAACAGGTAGTCTTTGCCCTCATGGAGCTTGCAGTAAACACCCAAACAAGTAAATATTCAAAATGTCAGATCAGTGTTGGTAAGATAAATATAACAAGAAGGGGCCTAAGGAATAACAGAAGTTGATGGAAGCAAGACTGAGCCATTTGGAACAATGAGCAAAAGCCTTAATGATTTGGTGAGCATTTAAAAGAGAACTGAAGTAGGTAAGGGAATACTCCAAGCAAGAAAGAATGTTCCAGGCTAAGAGTCCAGCAGATGTAAAAGCCCTGAGGCTGGTGCATGCCTACCATGTTTGAAGAAGGGGAACAAGGCCAGTATGGTTGAAGCAGAGATCAGAGAGGGAAATAGAAGGAGATAAAGTCATATGCAAATTCAAACTGAAGCTGAAGAAAATGAAAACAAGTCCATGAGAGCCAAAATATGACCTTGAATATATCCCACCTGAATTTAGGGATCCTCTGAAGAACAGATTTGATACATAGACACTAAAGACTGAAGACCAGAAGAGTTGTGGGATGACATCAAAGAACATCATACACAAAGAAAGCAAAAAGGCATTAAGAAGACAAGAAAGAAGGAAAAGATCCAAGTGGATGTCAGAAGAGACACTGAAACTTGTTCTCCAGCACAGAGATGCTAAAGCAACTGGAAGAAATGAGGAGGTACAAAAACTGAACAGAAAAGTTCATCAAAGATCAGCTCGAGAAGACAAAGTCAAATATTATAACGAAGTGTGCAAAGATTTAGAGTTAGGAAACAAAAAGGGAAGAGCATGCACAACTTCCTTAAGCTGGGGAACTGAAGAAAAAATTCAAGCCTAGAGTTTCATTATTGAAGGACTCTCAGGCCAAATGATTGAATGATGCAGAAAGCATCAAAACAAGATGGAAGGAATACAGAGAGTCACTGTACCAAAAGGAAACGCTGTATGTTCAACCATTTCAAGAGGTAGCATATGATCAAGAGCCAATGATACTGAAGGAAGAAGTTCAAGGTGCACTGAAGGAATTGACAAAGAACAAGGCACCAGGAATTCTTTCAACAAAGTGAGGAGGCACTGGAGGCACTCACTCATCTGTGTCAAGAAATCTGGAAGACAACTATCTGGCCAACTGATTGGAAGAGATCCATATTTGTGCCCATTCCAAAGAGAGGTGACCCAATGGAATGTGGAAATCATCAGACAATATCTTTGATATCCCATACGAGTAAAGTTTTACTAAAGGTAATGCAGAAATGGCTGCAAGCATACATTGACAGAAAATCTACAGAGGTTCAAGCCAGATTCAGAAGAGGACGTGGAATGAGGGATATCACTGCTGACATCAGGTGGATCTTGGCTAAAAGCAGAGAATATCAGAAAGATGTTTACCTGTGCTTTATTGACTATGCAAATGCTTTCAATGGTGTGAATCATGACAAGCTATGGACAACATTGTGAAGTATGAGTATTCCGGAACACTTAATTGTACTCATAAGGAACCTGTATATAGACCAAGAGGCAGTCAGTCAAACAGAACATGGGAGCACTGAATGGTTTAAAATTAAGAAAGGTGTGTGACAGGGTTTTATTCTTTCACCATACTTATTCAACCTGAATGCTGAGAAAATAATCTGAAAATGTGGGTTCTATGAAGAAAAATGTGATATCAGGATTGGAGGAAGACTCATTAACAACTTGCGATATGCAGATGATACAACCTTGCTTGCTGAAAGTGAAAAGGACTTAAAACATTTACTGATGAAGATCAAAGAGCACAGCCTTCAGTATGGATTGCATCTCAATGTAAAGAAAATAAAAATCTTCACCACTGGACCAATAAACACCATTTTTATCAATGAAGAAAGGATTGAAGTTTTCAAGGACTTCATTTTTCTTGGATCAACCATTAACAGTCACGGAAGCAGCAGTCAAGAAATCAAATGATGTATTGCATTAGACAAATCTGTTGCACAAGACCTTTTTAAAGTGTTGAAGAGCAAAGATGTCAGCTTGAGAACTAAGGCACACCTGACCCAAGCCATGGTATTTTTAATAACCTCATACGCATGCAAAAGCTGGACAGTGAATAAGGAAGATCCTAGAAGAATTGATGCTTTTGAGTTATGGTGTTGGAGGAGAATATTGAAAGTACCATGGGCTGCCAAAATGACAAACAGATCTCTGTTGGAAGAAGTGCAGCCTGAGTGCTCCTTGGATGCCAGGATGGCCAAACTTCGTCTCTCTTAATTCGGACATACTGTCAGGAGGGAGCAGTAGCTGGACAAGGATCTCATGTTTGGTAAGGTGAAGGGTCAGAGAAAAAGAGGAAGACCCCCAGCAAGATGGATTGTCAAAGTGGCATCATCAATGGGCTCAAGTGTGGCAACAATTGTGAGGTTGGCCTAGGACTAGGCAGTGTTTTGTTCTGTTGTGCATAAGGTCACTATGAGTCAGTACCGACTCAATGGCACCTAACAACAACAACAACAAAGAGAACAAAGGAGAAGCTGGAGAAAATTACCTTGTGGGTCATGATAAGAACTTTGTCTTTTACTATAAATGCAATAAGAAGCAGAAGGTTTTCATGATTTCATTTATGTTTGTGTTGAGAAAAGACTATAGGAAGACAAGAGCAGAAAACTGGTATGTAGCAGTAATCCAGGCATGAGATGATGGTGGTTTGGATTAGCGTGGTGACAGAGGAGCTATATATGAGAAAAGGTCAAATCCTGGCCATATTTTGAAGAGTCTGCTCACAAGGTTGCCATTATATTGAATGTTGCATGTAAGAGAAAAAGAGAAATCAGGATGACTCCCAATTTTGTTTCCCAAGTTATTAAAGTGTGGAGTTGCCATTTACTGACAGAAGGTTACTGGAAAAGTAGATTTGTGGGGCTAGGCAAACTCTGGTGCTCACTTTGGAAGAGTTTTATGTAGGGACAATACATCATACAATGAAACTAAGAGGTAAAACAAAGCCCACAGGAAAGATGGGGGTGGGGGTTGGGTACATACTAAGAAAGAAAAAATGATGCCAATATTTTGAAAATAATATAAAATGGATAAACATAGAAATTGAAGAAACCCTGGGAGTGTTTTTTTACAAAGAAATGATTTGGGAGAGGGGAACCTGAAATAGGGGTGGACAGGGACCAGGAATCTCTTGATGATAATAATATGGAGGTATGGGGTAGGCCTGCCTTACTGTGTCTTGAACACATTGAGTTTTCCCCACATCAGGTTTCTGATTTTCCCTTACTGAAAGGCTCTCCCCCAGATATCTGCATGCTCAGCCTCTCTCCTCAATCCCGCCTCTACCTTCATAAACCCTTTTCGAAGAGAGCCTCTCTACTTACAGCATGTAAAACAGCACCTCTTCTTTTCCCTAGCCTCCTCTTCAGTTTTGCTTTTCTCCGGAACATTTATAATAATCTGACACAAATAACTTCCTTATCTATTGTGTATACATTCTCCCACACTATAATGTAAGTTCCATGAGAGCCAGGATGCATATAACAGCAATCAGTAAGTATTTGTACATTGAGTGAATGTATAAACAGCAATGAGTTTAAAATGTCCTTATTTAAACCCATTAGGTACCTGTGGTTTTTCTTCCTTTTATTGTCCTTCCTTCCATACACAGTTTCTTAATACACATTTATTAATTCTCTTGTACATTCTTTCAGGTGTGGCACAGAGTGAAGCTACTATGATGTTCAAATATAACCGACAAAGTATGACTTTGTCCAGTGAAATCCAAATTCCACATTTTGATGTTGATCTTGGGACAGTCCTCAAAATTAGTGATGAATCTGTTACAGAGAAAAAATCTTACAAGCTCACCTTGGACATTCAGAACAAAAAAATCACTGAGGTCACTCTTACTGGTCACATGAGGTAAGGAAGGCTTAGGTGATATGTCCTGAGCTGCTCTGTCCCTTCTTCCTCTTCATCTGCAAAGCTGGCCTGCAGATTGTTACCAAGGCTGCATCCAAGTAACAGAAAGCCCTCATTTTAGCACATGTCCAATTGGACCTTCCTACCATTTGTTGGGAACTTACTATTCACCAGACACTGTGCTGGGTGCTTTGTTGAGATAATCTGTTTTCACAATGAACTACAAACCAGGTATGAGTTATTACTGTTTAATAGATGAGAAAATGGTAGCTCAGATGGGTTAAATAACTTGGCCAATGCAATGTTGTTGTTAGCTGCTACTGAGTCAGTCCTCAGCTCATGGTGACACCATACACAATGAAATGAAACCCTGCCTATTCCTGTGAAATCCCCAGGATCAGTTGGGGATCAGAAGTTGTGATTCACAGGGTTTTCATGACTGAGTTTATTAAGCAGATCACCAGACCTTTCTTCCTAGTCTGTCTTCGTCTAGAAGTTTTGCTAAAAGAAGCTATTCAGTGTGCAAGGCTTCCTTGACAGACACATAGAGGCTATGCATAAGAGGCTGGGAACTGAACGTGAGTCTCCCACATGGAAGGTGAGAATTTTACCATTGAACTACCCATGTGTCCTAGCCAAGGCAATGAGCTAGTAAATGGTAGAGCTGGATTCAAACAGTTTTGAAAATTCCTCCCCGCTCCCAAATTCATCCATGGGAAGTCCTGCTTTTGTGCTGAACGTTGTCTTTAGAAGTTAATTAGTGTGAATTCTGGTAATTTCTCTGAACCATTCACATATCTGGTTTTTGTTACCATAAAAGGAGCTTCTGTTTTATCCAGCCGTCTTCCTGGAATGCATAAATTCATTGAAGCCAACTGATTTTCTTTACAACAGTTGTGACATTAAGGAAGAAGGCAAAATCAAGGGTGTTATTTCCATACCCCGTTTGCAAGCAGAAGCCAGAAGTGAGATTCTCACCCACTGGTCCCCCACAAAATTGCTCCTCCAGATGGACTCCTCTGCGACAGCTTATGGCTCAACGATTTCCAAGAAGGTGACATGGTGCTATGGTATGTGCCTTTCCCCCCCAGACTAGGCCTTCTAAAAACACTGCTCCCTGGTGCAAATGTTGAGAACCATTAAAGGCTGATCTGGTACCATCTACAGCTGTTTCATATGTGTGTTTCTAGATGAAGAGAAGGTGGAATTTGAATGGAACACTGGCACCAATGTGAACACCGAAAAAGTGGTTTCTAATTTCCCAGTGGATCTCTCTGATATTCCTAGCAGCTTGCATCTGTATGCCAACAGCCTCTTGGATCACAGAGTTCCTCAAACAGACACAACTTTCCGGCACATGGGTTCCAAATTAATAGTTGTAAGTATAAATAAGTCAGTCAATAAATGTATGATGGTAAGTACTAATTACATACTCAACCCTGAAGCACAGAACACTATCCAAAGATGTATAAGGCATCCTTGCTACCGCTAGAGAATTCTTGGGAAGAAAATACTCATACATGCAAATACTCATATATGAATGAAGCACTCTATAATAAATGTCAAATGAATGCTAATAAGAGAGATTTTTTGTGCCTAGAAGTATCAAAAGAAGCTTCAGGGTCCGACTATGCTATACATTCCTTTCACAAAGTAGATGAGGAGATCAGTGAGCCATAATCCAGTTTTCTCGGATTTATTTTACCTTTCAGTGCTGTATCCTGCTTAATAACTGGTCTTTCAAATGTGGATTATTACCTAATGTTAATATACTCTGACACTTATCCATGTGTTATTTTTTAAAACATCTCTTCTTTTGTAGGCAACAAACACATGGCTTCAGAAGGTATCCAGGGACCTGCCTTATACCCAGATTTTGCAAGATCACCTCAATGGCCTAAAGGAGATGAACCTACAGAAAATGGGATTGCCAGAATTCCACATCCCAGAAAACCTATTCTTGAAAAGGTAAAAGAAGAAATCAGAAATGTTTGTTCAACAATGCAAAGTAAATGGAAATTTTTGCTTTGCAATGACTTTTTTTTTCATTTACATTTTTCAAGAAAACAACTGAAACATTTTAGAGATTAATTAATTTAACAAAATGCTATGTATTTCTGCTATATGGTACAAAAGGTTTAAAAGTGAATGCCAACCAGTCAGGAAGAACCTAACATAATTGGAGGATTCTGGTACTTTAACACTTAGATGCTTCATTAACAACAACTGTAATTATCACCTGCAAACCCAAATTCTAAATCCATTCAATTTTTTTCTATCATAAATAAACTTCATTAAGAATTGGAGTATTCTCATAATTATTTAACTTGAAATTAAAGAATGACTTCTAGTTTGGCACTGTAGGATCAGCACTGGACTGTGAACCACAAGATCGGCAGTTCAAACCTACCAGCTGCTCATCAGAAACCCTATCCAGGGTTGCTATGAGTTGGAATCCACTCAACAGTACTTAGCAACAAACAAGAGGATTTATTGACTACAGACTGGCTGTTGAAGTATAATGAGTCAGAACAGCCTCAATGAAACACTGAATGAAGGCAACAATCTAAGAGCATATTTAAGTCTAGTAGTATACCTTAGGAATCGTAGTGCAACGCTGTAGAACAAGCACTGGACTGCTAACTGTAAGATCAGCAGTTCAAACCCACCAGTCACTCCTCAGAAACCCTATACAGGATTTCTATAAGTCAGAACCGACTCAGGCACTTAACACAACCACAGTATACCTTAAGTCATTCCAGGCAAATCAGATTCCAAACTCTTGAGCCCACTTTAATTATTTATAGAAATGCATATAGTGCTTTGATTGCTGGACTTCATGAAAATATTTTAGAACTCAAAGAAAGCATGAGCTGAAAAGTCTTTTTTTTAGATTGCCTGTCCTTTGTATTATTTTCAGGATTAAGAAAACTAATATAGCCTGGGTCAGCTGGGCTTTTTGGTATTTTATGGCTGTGCAGCAAAGTTTAAAGAAAAAGATGAATATGAAAGGAATGAAGTGGGCCAAGCACTCATAGAGACAAAGCTCAGTAAAGATAGGGGAACTCTAGCAGTTCAGAGAGCCCAGAAACTTTCCTCCACTACTAGATGTCTCTAACCCTTGGTCTTTGATGTGCTATGTTGAAAAGACTGGGGCACGGGACTTTAGGATTAAACGGGACCTGTATTGTTGTCAGTACATCCTCTTACTGAATTTTGGGGTCCTCGGTAGGTAGCATCAACTTCTTGCTGAAGCAATACAATGGATAAGAGTTAATTTACCTACAACCTTTAAACCTTGGTGTATCACTTTATTACAATAGTTCTTTCTATGTGCATAGTACTGACATGATTGCAAAGTGGTATTTTTTATTTTAAGGTATTTTTTCTCATTTGATATCCAAGGCCAGTTCTGTGAGGTCAGCAGAAAGAGTATTATTATCCCTACTAGACAGGTAACAAAGACTCAGAGAAATTAATTCAGTGAGACTGTTGTTGTTTGCTTTTGAGTCGGTTCCAACTCATAACGACCCTATATCAGGTTTTCAAGAACAGCTGGTCGGTTTGAATTGCCCACCTTGCTGTCATCAGTTCTGTGCTTATCGTACAGCACCGAACCAGTGCCTGATTCACTTAGAGTTAATTGTTGTTGTTAAGTGCCATGGATTTGGTTCTGACTAAATGCAACTCTCTATAGGGAGTCCTGGTGTGGCGCTGTGGGTTAATGCACCAGACTGCAAAGCCATTTGAACTGCAAGGTCGGCGGTTCAAGCTCACCAGCTGCTCCTCAGAAACCCTATACAGGGTCACTATGGGTCAGAATCGCCTCGACGGCACACAACAACAAATAGGGTTTCCCAGGCTTTAAATCTTCACCGGAGCAGAAAGCCTCATCTTTGCTATGTGGAGCAGCTGGCAGGCTTGAACTGCAGACATTGTAGTTTGCAGTCTGGTGCTTACATATGGAGCCAGCACATTCTGATAGTCAATTAATGGAAGCTAAAACTACAATCCAAGTTTACTGGTTCCCATACCCTTTCTACATACCTAGTTGCCTCAATTTAATTTGACAAATAATTATCAAGTGTCTCCTATATGCAAGATACTAGGCTTGGTGCAGCTAAAAGATAGAAAATGCATAAGGCATAGTCCTTCCTTCCAGATAAATTACATTGTCACATGGACACTGACAAATGAACAAATAAATATTAATTAAATAAGCAAAGTTGTGTCATGCTTTTTGAGATATGTATAAGGAATGAGGAGTCCTGGAGTGGTGCTGTAGGATAAGCACTGGACCGCTAACTTCAAGGCCGGTAGTTCAAATCCAGCAGCCACTCCTCAGAAACCTTGTACAGGGTGGCATGAGTTGGAACTGACTCAACAGCCCTTAACAACAATAAGGGATTATGTGACTAAAAGAATGAGAGATTAACTATGACTCTGATGGTATGATAATAAGAAGTAGCTTTTGGGTGGGTTTTAAATAGATTTGAGTATTATGACAGGTAGAGGGAAGAGCCAAGGGATACGCAGAAGAGGGAGGAGCAGGAGGAAGAGTGTAGCATAGATTTCAGAATGGGATGTGCTTAGTGTTGTTTGGAAGAGCATAACTCTCCATCCCTGATGTCTGATTGTGAGAACGCTGTCTTTGTTCTTCATTTCAGTGATGGCCGGATCAAATACACCTTGAACAAAAACAGTGTGAAAATTGAGATTCCTTTGCCTTTTGGTGGCAAATCCTCTGGAGATCTAAAGATCTTAGAAACTATTAGACCACCAGCCCTTGGTTTAAAACTTGTGGGAATCCCCTTGCCATCTAAAGAGTTCCGAATCCCCACATTTACCATTCCTAAGTTGTATCCACTATGGGTACCTCTCTTGGGTGTTCTGGACCTGTCCACAAATGTATACAGCAACGTGTACAACTGGTCCGCCTCCTGTACTGGAGGCAACACCAGCACAGATCACTTCAGCCTGAAGGCTCAGTACCACATGAAAGCCAACTCTGTGGTTGACCTGTTCTCCTACAGTATGCAAGGTGAGTCATGCTTGGCCAGGCCCAGGTTCTGCAACAGACTGCAGCTTACATGTCCTCTTCTTTGCCCTCCTCTTGCCTTGCTCCGTGAAGACTCACTTAAATGTTTACATACTCATCCTGATTCATTACTATAGACTAGTCAGATATTTTCAGAGGTACCCACAGCTTTTCACTTACTGTTACTTAGCATTCCTATTATTATTATTATCATTATGGCATTGTTATTGTTGTATGTCATCAAATCAGTTCTGACTCTTAGCAACGCTGTATAGGATTTACAAGAGCAGCTGATGGGTTTGAACTGCCAACCATTTCCATGAAAAGCTTGAGTCTCTTATCCGTTGAACACAAGGAAATAGAATGATTTGGGGAGATACTGAATTCTTCTTCACATCCATTGAACTCATTGCCAGACAATTGTTCCAATTTTTACAATTTTCTATTTTGCCGTTGGAATTTGACTCATTTCTTTATCTAACTGTTTGCAGTGATACTGGGTTAGCTGCACTGAAAATATTGAAAGGTGGAGAAACAGATCTATTATTCAATAGGCCATTTATACTTGAGGTCACAGATTTGACTGATTCCTTCCCTTAAACTTATTTAAGTCTACTCTTTTGAAAAGCACAATTATTCTGGTGCCACATAGATATAGAAACATAAATTTTTCATTCAAAAGCCCACAAATATATTTTAAAAATTGAAACTTCAGGAAAAGTACAAAATGCATCATGCTTACTTTTAGCTCCTTGTTCAGGTTGAAAGTTGCATTGATAAGGAACAAAAAAAATCCTTATATGTCATGTGTTTTGTTTAGAATATTTCTTTGTCATTTTGAAATATATGGGTTTGAAAATAAAAGCCAAAATTTGTGGGGGTGAGGGAGTGTAAAGAACAAAGGTCATCCTATTTATATAGATTATGAAACTGATGATTTCCCCAGAATCATACATATAGCCTTCAAAAAAAAAGGGAGGGGGGGAATCAAAGGAATGTATTTTAATGTATTTTATTTTACTTCACATTTTTAGCAAAAAAGATTAGATGGTTTTCCCCAGTTTCTATGTTCCTAGAACTCATCTCCAGGTAGCTCTCTGAGGTGCTTGAGGACTTAATTCAAAAGATTCTACTTTATACACTTAGCTAGGAGTACTTAAGGAGCTCTGCTAGCATAGTGGTTACAAGTCAGCAGCTCAAAACTACCAGTGGTTCCTCGAGAGAAAGATAAGACTTTCTGCTCCCTAAAGATTTACAGCCTTGGAAACCCTATACAGGGTCGCTATGAGTCAGAAACAACTCCACAGCACACCACCACCATTATCACCAGGAGGGTTAGTTCTTTGAACACAGGGACCTTGCCTTTGAATTTCTGTATCCTTCATGGTCTTATAATATAAATCACACAAGCCTAATACTAGAAAAGAGAAGTAAAGATGTTTCTTGATGATGACAGAGAAATAATATCATCCATTTGTATATTTCCTTTTACATTGTAAAAACACAAATACATGCATTATCTCATACAATTATATCAGCAACATTATGATGTAGATATTATTAGCTACCTAAATTTACAGATGAGGAAATTGAGTCTCAGGGGAGTGAAGTGACCGTCTCAAGGGGCTGACTTTCCTGACATGAAGGTATTGAAGTAGGCAGTGAACACAGGGCTAAGGTAGGACCCTGTGAGGCCAAGCAGGGCCAAGAAGAGGACTAAGCCACTTCAAGAGGAGGTTCTGTGAAGACTGTCATAAGAAATGAGGCTAGGAAGAGAAGTAAAAGCCAGATTGAAGGACCTTGTTATGCTGGTGGACAAATGTTAACTAAAGAATGCAAGGAAAATTTCAGTACAATCTTTGATAAGAGAGCCCCTTTAAAAGAGAAAAGACTTGGGATTTCTTACAGACCTTTTTCTTGCTACTTGGAGGTTTTTTTCTTCATTCATTCTTGTATTCAGGCTTTCAACCAGTAGACATAATTACTGAACACATAACACATATGTATCAAATATTCTACTAGGCAGTGATGCAGAAAGCAGACAGATAAGCCAGCAGTTATAATTCAATGTGAGCGTAATTATGATAGGGTGATGTATATAAGGTACTTGATAAAGTAACACAACAAAGTTTGTGGTGGTCCGGGAAGGCTTTCTGGAGGAATGTCTCTTAAGCTTGTGTTTAGATAAGGAGACTTTTGCATGACTAACTCAGATAAATGGGACTTTATTGCTCAAAGGCTTTCAACATAGGGATTATTCTGAAAATTTATTACTTAATTTAATGAAAGTTTTGTGCTTTGTCCCCCCACCCCCACTTTTTTTTAGGATTAGGAGAAACAACCTATGACGACAGGAACACATTCACATTATCATATGATGGATATCTGCACCACAAATTTATGTATTCAAATATCAAATTCAATCATGTAGAAAAAAGTGGAAATAGTCCAGCTTCAAAAGGTTTACTAACATTTGATGCTACTAGTGCTGGAGGATCACAGATGTCTGCTTCAGTTCATTTGGATACTAGAACGAAACAGCATTTGTATGTCAGAGAAATCAAGGTGGATGGAGAGTTTAGAGTCTCTTCATTCTATACAAAAGGCATTTGGGGCCTATCTTATCAGAGAGATCTTACTACAGACCAGCTAAATGGAGAATCCAACCTGAGGTTTGACTCTTCCTACCTCCAGGGTACCAACCAAGTGACTGGAAGATATGAAGATGGAGCACTCAACTTTATTTCCACCTCTGATTTGCAAGGTGGCCTCCTTAAAAATACAGCTTCCCTGAAATATGAGAACTATGAACTGACTCTGAAATCTGACACCAATGGGAAGTACAAGGACTTTGCCACTTCCAGCAAGGTGGATATGACCTTCTCTAAACAAAATGCATTGGTACGTTCTGAGTATCAGGCTGATTATAATGCACTGAGGTTCTTTGCCCTGCTTTCTGGATCACTCAATTCCCATGGACTTGAATTAAATGTTGACGTTCTGGGTACTGACAGAATTAACAGTGGTGCTCACAAGGCAACCCTAAGGATTGGCCAAGGTGGACTGTCTACCAGTGCAACTACCAACTTGAAGTACAGCCCATTGGTGCTGGAGAATGAGCTAAATGGAGGAGTTGGCCTCTCAGGAGCATCCATGAAATTAACAACAAATGGGCGATTCAGAGAACATAATGCAAAATTCAATCTAGATGGAAAAGTCACCCTCACAGAGGTATCCTTGGGCAGTGCTTATCAAGGAATGATTCTAGGTGTTGACAGCAAAAATATTTTCAACTTCAAAATCAATCAAGAAGGACTTAAGCTTTCAAATGATATGATGGGGTCATATGATGAAATGAAACTGGACTACACAAATAGTCTGAACATTGCAGGCTTATCACTTGGCATCTCTTCAAAACTTGACAACATTTTTAGCTCTGACAAATTTTATAAGCAAAATTTTAATTTACAACTTCAGCCCTATTCTCTTATAACTGCTTTAAACAATGATCTGAAATACAATGGTCTGGATCTGACCAACACTGGCAAATTACAGCTAGCACCTCTAAAGCTGAATGTGGGTGGTACCATCAAAGGAGCCTACCAAAATAATGAGATAAAACATATCTACACCATTTCTTACGCTGACTTATCAGCAAGCTATAAAGCAGACACAGTAGCTAAGGTTCAGGATGCAGAGTTCAGTCATCGGTTCAACACAGACATTGCTGGGCTATCTTCAGCCCTTGACATCAGTACAAACTATAATTCAGACTCACTGCATTTCAGCAATGTTTTCCATTCTGCAATGACACCATTTACAATGACCATTGATACACATACAAATGGCAATGGAAAACTGGTTCTCTGGGGGGAACACACTGGACAACTCTACAGCAAATTCCTGTTGAAAGCAAAACCTCTATCCCTTACTTTCTCTCATGATTACAAAGGATCCACAAGTCATCATCTCATGTCCAAAAGAAGCATTGACACTGCTCTTGATCACAAAGCCAGTGCCCTGCTTATTCCAACTGAGCAGACAGTTACCTGGAAACTGAAGACCCAACTGAACAAAAATGAATACAGCCAGGACTTGGATGCTTACAACACTAAAGAAAAAGTGGGTGTGGAACTTAGTGGACGTGCCCTGGCTGACCTCACTGTGCTGGACTCACCAGTGAATGTGCCATTTTTATTTACTGAGCCAGTCAATGTAATTGATGTGTTAGAGATGAGAGACGTTGCTGACCAACCCCAAGAATTCACTGTTGTAGCTTCTGTGAAGTATGACAAGAACCAAGATGTTCACACCATCAATCTCCCATTCTTGAAAATTCTGCCAGAATCTTTTGAGAGAAATCGAATAGCAATTATAGCTGTACTGGAAAGCATACAAAAAGAATTGAAACACATCAATATTAACCAATTTGCTAGGAAATACAGAACAGCCCTGGACAAAATTCCACAACAAGTTAATGATTATCTGAATGCATTCAATTGGGAGGCACAAGTTATAAATGCCAAGGAGAAACTAACTGCTTTCACACAAAATTACAGAATTACAGCAAATGATCTACAAATCGCATTAGATAATGCCAAAATCAACTTGAATGAAAAACTGTCTCAACTAGAGACATATGTGATACAATTTGATCAGTATATTAAAGATAATTATGACCTGAATGATTTAAAAATAACCATTGCTAAGATTATTGACCAAATCACTGAAAGATTAAAATTTCTTGATGAATATTATCATATTCGTGTAAACTTAATAAAAATAATCCATGATCTATATGTATTTGTTGAAAAGATTGATTTTAACAAAATTGGAAGTAGTACTAAAGCTTGGATTCAAAATATGGATACTAAATATCAAATCAGAATCCAGATACAAGAAAAACTGCAACAGCTCAGAACACAGGTACAGAATGTAGACATCCAGCACCTTTCCGAAATGTTAAAACAACAATTTGAGATTATTGATACCAGAATGGTTTTAGATCAATTGAGAACTACAATTCCAATTCAAAGAATAAAGGACATTATCGATTATGTTAAACACTTCATTATAAATCAGATTGAAGATTTTGAAGTAACTGAGATCATCAATGATTTTAGAGCCAAAGTCCATGAGTTAATTAAGAAGTATGAAATAGACCAACAAATTCAGGTTTTAATGGATAAATCAATACAGTTGGCCCACCAATTTAAGTTGAAGGAAACTCTTCAGAGGCTAAGCAATGCCCTAAAACAAGTTGAGATAAAAGCTTACTTTGAGAAATTGGCTGGGTATATTTATAACAATGTCAAAAAGCTTAAAGCATTGAATTTTGAAAAGTTTATGATAGATGTAAACATATTCCTTGACATGTTGGTAAAGAAATTAAAGTCATTTGATTACAACCAGTTTGTGGATGAAACCAACAAGAAAATCCATGAAGTGACTCAGAGAATCAATCATGAAATTCTGGCTGTGGAGCTACCACAGAAAGTTGAAGCCTTAAAAGTGTTTGTAGAGGAGGTCAAAGCAGTGATTTCAGTCTATCTCAAAAACCTTAAGGACACCAAATTAACCTTACTCCTTGACTGGCTACAAGATGCTTTTGGTTCAGCATCTTTTATTAGCATGAAAGCCAAATTCCGTGAGACCCTAGAAGATATACGAGACCGAGTGTACCAAATGGACATTCAGCAGGAACTCCAGCGATACTTGTCTCTGATAAGCCAGGTCTACAGAACCCTTGTCACTTATGTTTCTGATTGGTGGATTCTTGCTGCTAAGAACCTTACTGACTTTGCAGAACAGTATTCTATCCAAGACTGGGCTGAAAACCTGAAACGACTGGTAGAACAGGGATTCATATTTCCTGAAATCCAGACCATGTTCTGGACCATGCCTGCCTTTGAAATCAGTCTTCGTGCTCTTAAAGAAGCCACTTATCAGACTCCTGACTTCACAGTTCCCCTGACAGATTTGAGAATTCCATCAGTTGAGATAAACTTCAAGACATTGAAAGATATAAAAATCCCATCCAAGTTTACCACACCAGAATTTACTGTCTTCAATACCTTTCACATTCCTTTCTTTACAATTGACTTGGTAGAAATTAAAGTAAAGCTCATCAGAACCATTGACCAAATGCTAAGCAGTGAGCTGCAGTGGCCTGTTCCAGAAGTGTACTTAGGGGATCTGAAGGTGGATGACACCTTTCTTGCGACAATCACTCTGCCAGACTTCTCTTTGCTAGATTTCACAATTCCGGAAATTGTAATCCCAAATCTCAACCTTAGAGACTTTGAAGTCCCCAGTCTATACATACCAGAATTCCAGCTTCCCCAAATCTTCCATACAATCCAACTACCCACTTTTGGCAAGCTGTATGGTACTTTGAAAATCCAATCTCCACTTTTCACACTAGATACAAATGCTGGCATTCAAAATGTGACCACTTCGGTGAACAAGGCAGAGATTGTGGCTTCCTTCATTGCCAAAGGGGAATCCAAATTAGAAGTTCTCAATTTTGATTTTCAAGCAAATGCACAATTGTCAGACTCTGAGATCAATCCAATGATTGTGAAGGAATCTGTGAAACTCTCCAGCAAGTACCTGAAAACAGAGCATGCAAGTCAAGTGCTATTTTCTGAAAATGCTATCGAGGGAAAATCAGACACAATGGCAAGTTTACAAACAGAAAAAAATACACTGGAGCTTAGTAACAGTGTGCTCCTCAACATAAACCAACAGTTTACTTTGGATAGCAACACAAAGTATGTCCACAAATTGAACATCCCCAAATTGGACTTTTCCAGTCAGGCCGACCTGCGCAATGGAATGAAGACACTGGTGGAAGCTGGACACATAGTGTGGACTTCTTCTGGAACAGGGTCATGGAAATGGGCCTGCCCCAAATTTTCTGATGAAGGAACACATGAATCACAAATAAGTCTCACTGTGGAAGGACCCATCACTTCCTTTGGTTTGTCCAATAAGATCAACAGTAAACACCTAAGAGTTAACCAAAATTTGGTTTGGGAATCTGGGTTCCTCAACTTTTCTAAATTTGAAATTGAGTCACAAGCTGAATCCCAGTATGTAGGCCGTAGTGTTCTAACTGCCAAAGGCACAGCACTGCTTGAAGACATGAAGGCTGAGATAAGTGGCAACCATGATGCTCATTTAAATGGGAAAGTTATTGGAACTCTGAAAAATTCTCTTTTCCTTTCAGCACAGCCATTTGAGGTCACAGCATCTACAAACAATGAAGGGAATCTAAAAGTTAGTTTTCCATTAAAATTGACAGGGAAGATAAACTTCCTGAATAATCATGCACTGCTTCTGAGTCCTAGAGTCCAGCAAGCAAGTTGGCAAGCCAGTGCCAGGTTCAATCAGTATAAATACAATCAAAATTTCTCTGCTGTAAACAACGAGAACACCATGGAAGCACACGTAGGAATGAATGGTGAAGCCAATCTGGATTTCTTAAATATCCCTTTAACAATTCCTGAGATGACTCTACCTTACACAACACTCAAAACTCCCCATCTGAAAGATTTCTCATTATGGGAAAGAACAGGCTTGAAGGAATTCTTAAAAACAACAAAGCAATCTTTTGATTTAAGTGTAAAGGCTCAGTATAAGAAAAACAAAGACAAATATCCCATCTCAATTCCTGTGGATATTTTTAATGAGTTTATGAGTCAGAACATCAAATCTTTCAACAAGCATTTTGAGAAAGGCAGAGACAATGCATTAGATTTTCTTACCAAATCCTTTAATGTCCTTCATGTCCCTAGGAGTCTTCACAAACGTTCCTTTCCAGATTTCAAGGTACCAAGAACCTCAAACAACATCTTTATTCCAGCCATGGGCAATATTACCTATGATTTTTCCTTTAAATCAAGTATCATCACATTGAATACCAATGCAGGACTTTATAATCAGTCAGATATTGTTGCTCATTTTCTTTCTTCCTCTTCTACCTTTATTAATCCACTACAGTACAAATTAGAGGGCACCTCAAGTTTGACAAGGAAACGAGGGTTGAAGTTAGCCACAGCTTTGTCTCTGAGTAACAAATTTGTGGAAGGCAGTCATGACAGTACCATTAGCTTAACCAAGAAAAACATGGAAGCATCTGTAACAACAACTGCGAAAGTCCAAATTCCAATTTTGAGAATGAATTTCAAGCAAGAACTTAATGCAAATACCAAGTCAAAGCCTACTGTCTCTTCAGCTATTGAGTTCAAGTATGATTTCAATTGCTCCAAGCTGTACTCTACTGCTAAAGGGGCAGTTGACCACAAACTCAGCTTAGAAGGTCTCACTTCCTATTTTTCCATTGAATCGTCTACCAAAGGAGATGTCAAGGGTACAGTCCTTTCAAGGGAATATTCAGGAACTATCAGCAGTGAGGGTAACACATACTTGAATTCCAAGGGCACTCGGTCTTCAGTGAAGCTGCAAGGAGCTTCCAAAGTTGATGGTATCTGGAATGTAGAAGTTAAAGAAAATTTTGCTGGAGAAGCCAATCTCCGACGCATATATGTCATCTGGGAGCACAATACAAAAAACCTGCTATGGCTCTCAGACAATTTTTTTACATCTGGTGAGCATACAGGCAAAGCCACTCTGGAACTCTCCCCATGGAAAATGTCAGCTCTTGTTCAGGTTCATTCAAGCCAGCCCAATTCCTTCTTTGATATCCCCTACTTTGGCCAGGAAGTAATTTTGAATGTTAACACCGAGAACCAGAAGGTCAGCTGGAAAAGTGGGGTCCAGGTTCTTGCTGGGTCTCTCCAGAACACTGTACAGTTTTCTAGTGACCAGCAAGAGGTATGTCTTGACATTGCAGGATCCTTAGAAGGACACCTGTCATTTCTCAAAGAAGTCATCCTACCAATTTATAACAAGAGCTTATGGGATCTCCTCAAGTTGGATGTAACCACCAGCATTGACAGGAGACAGTATTTTCATGCTTCAACTGCCCTTGTGTACACCAAAAACCCCAAAGGCTACTATTTTTCTTTACCTGTGCAAGAACTGGCCAATGAGTTCATTATCCCTGGACTGAACATAAATGATCCAGACTCAGTTCTTAACATTCCTACTTTCAACATCCCATTTACAAATCTTCAGATTCCATCATACACACTTGACTTCAAGGAAATAAAAATCAGCAAGAAGCTAAGTACGTCATCATTTGACCTCAACATGCCAATACTACCCCAAGTAAAATTTCCAGAAGTTGATGTGTTGATAAAATATTCTGAACCACAAGACTCCTCTGCTCCCTTTTTTGAGGTAACAGTGCCTGGATCTCAGTTAATTGTATCACAATTGACCTTTCCAAAGAGTATTTCAGTTGACAGTACTCTATTGGATCTAAATAAAATGGCCAACAAGATTACAGACTTTGATTTGCCAACTATCACTGTGCCTGAGCAGACTATTGAGATTCCTTCCATTAAGCTATCTGTACCTGCTGGAATCTTCATTCCCTTTTTTGGATCACTGACTGCTCGTTTTGGAGTGGCCTCTCCCTTATATAATGCCACCTGGAGTGCTGGCTTGAAAAACAAAGAAGATCACTTTGAAACATTTCTGGATGCCACATGCAGTTCAACCCTACAGTTCCTGGAGTATGATCTAAATAGTAAGTAAATGTTTTTACTAATCTCCTAAATACTGTGTGTTCTCAGTAATAATTGTAAGTAAATAATTGATCATTTCAACATGATTTGTTGTTGTTAAGCACCGTCGAGTCAGTTCTGACTCACAGGGACCCAGTACAGGGTTTCCGAGGAGTGGCTAGTGAGTTTGAACCACTGATCTTGCAGTTCAAACTGACCTTGCACTACAGTGTTTATCCTACAGCACCTCTCTATAGCAAAATTTAAAAGAATAGGGAAAGCCCACCCCCTCCACACACAGAGTAGACAACTTGGACATTGGCTACCCAAAATGGGGGTGGGGGCGGCTACAAAGGCAAGAAGTGACTGGCTTACAAGATTTCAAGAGGGAAACTAGAGCCAAGGGGCCTGGAGGAAGGCAGAATCTCCAGTGAGTAATATCCAGTCTTTCTAGGCGGAGCTGATAAAATGAAATGCAGATGGGTCTCTTGTGATACAATAGTGAATAATTGTTATCAGGACTGATTGTGAGCATTGGAAATGTAAAGGCAGGTGTTTTATAGCAAGGAAGGGAGTGACTAATAGTCTAGGAGTGGAGGTCCCTAGAACCATCAACAGGACCCTACCCAGAGAAGCAGTGATGCATGAGATGGAGGCAGAGATGATGACGTGGAACAAGGGGGACTTTAGATCCAGAGAGGGAGAGTGACCGTGTGCTGAAGACTGGTGTGTGTGTGTGTGTGTGGGGGGGGGGGGGGTAGTGTAGGAGGCAGGCTTGCAGGGTATACCCTTTGGTTGGTTGATGATGCATGGAGAGGAATGTAAAACTAATGTTCTCCCATGTAAACTATCAAATAATTCACAACAAAACATTAAAAAAAAAAAAAAAGAATAGGGAAAGCAATCCATATATAACTCACATGCAAAAGCCATACTGTAGAAAATTTATTAGCATTCACAAGAAGCACATAAAAAGATAATCAATTTTTATATAATAAAATGAAATTTATTTGTTAAAAATAAGTAACAAATAATTTTCTTATATTTATAAAAAGTCATAGCTTGCACATGGTATGTTTCAAACGTATAATTAGCATAATTGGTTAAAATGGAATCCTCCTTGTTATTTCAATGAAAATGTATGTGACCTATAGGTATTTGTCTAATGAACTATAATATCTCTCCTATACAGTTGTGGGAACACACAAATTTGAAGATGGCACATTGGTCTGTAAGACCCAAGGAACATTTTCACATCCTGACTTCAGCGCAGAATATAAAGAAGAAGGCAAATATCAAAGACTTATGTACGGAACTTTTGCTGAGAGTTCATATTTTTTCATAACTCATTATAAATTTTACCATCTCAGAATCCCTTCCATCATCACTCATCCGCTTGTCTGCTTTCAGGTACTGGGAAGGAGATACGCGCCTTGACATCACCAGCCCAAAATTCACTGACGTCTATCTGCGCTACCAAGTAGACGAGCACAGCCTCTCCTCCTCAGTAGCCTCCCCAGCCATAGGCACTGTATTTATGGACTTTAAAGAAGATAAAGATACTCTTAAATGGGACCTTTACTATCGCCCTCAGGTGAGTCCCAGCTAGTGGGTTAGACATCCCAAGAACAAATAGAGAGTTTGGATGGAGAAATTTAACTCTGTGTGAAGTATTCTCTCAGGGTGTTCAAAAACTACATGAAAAACAAACTGAATGAGACTTTTACTGATTTTAATAATTAGATGCAAATATTACATTCTACTACCATTTTATTATATAAATTACACCCATTTACATTCAAAGGAGCTCTGGTAGCATAGTGGTTATGAATCGGGCTGCTAACTTCACAGTCAGTCACCAGTTCAAAACTACCAGCTGCTCCGCAGGAGAAAGATGAGGCTTTCTGCTCCCATAAAGATTTACAGCCTCTGAAACCCTGCACAGGGTCGCTATGGGTCAGAATCGGCTCCACGGAACATAACAACAACTACCACTATAACTTAATTATTTAGGGACAAATATAGAAAGGTGAGGGTTGTGTTTCATCACCTAAAATCATGTGCAAACTCTCCCTTATGCAGAGTATATTTTTCAGATGATAGGTTCTGGATTACTTAAGGCTTAAAAATTCTTGTTTACATTAGAATTGTTAGATAAGATATGCCAAATGTCTCTCATGTCGTTTACAAGCTCTGTAGTAGCCGAATCAAAGATGCCATTAACAGAGAAGACATAATCAGGTTCTATTACAACAGTTTGTCAAAGACTTGGAGAACAAATGGCTTCTGATGTTTGTATTCTAGAAGCGTACTACACTGACTCTAGATTTGATCTTTTTTTGCTCTATTTTGTGCTCTTGAATTTGTCTTTCCTGGTCTCCTTTCTGCCTTCTCTGTTCCTTCTTTTCTTCTGATTTTCAGATTTTGGAAGGCCTTAATGTAAATGTCACTATGTAAACACCATAATTTTTTTCCCCCATCCTTTCTAGCACATGTGGTAAAGAAGAACTAATAATAGTGGACTTATTTAACCACAAAAAAAAAAAAAAAACATATGAACTGACATATGAACCATATGAATGATAAATCTTTTTTTTTTTTTTTTACTTTTTACTTTAAACTCCTCTGATTTCTACTTTTAGCTGATAATGAAGTATGAAGCTTTAGTGTAGTATGTTATATAATCAGGATAATTGAAAACATATTTTTTTAATTCTTTTTTTTGCTGATTTCAGTCTTCTACAGATAAAATACACTACATATTCAAAACTGAGTTGAGATACCAAGAGTCTGATGATGAAATTCAAATCAAAGTTAACTGGGAAGAAGAAGCAGCTTCCCAATTGCTAAATTCTGTCAAAGACAACGTGCCCGAAGCCACAAGGGCCCTTTATGACTATGTCAACACATACCACCGTGAGCATACAGGACTGGACCTGAGAGATGTGTCCCCACGACTCAGAAGAAGTCTGCAGAATGGTGCTGAGCAGACATATCAGAGGGCTGTGAGGTGGATTGATGAGGTGGAGATGGGGCTTCAGAGAGCTGCCAGCAACACTTCTAGGAACTATCAGCAGTGGAAGGACACAGCCCAGAATTTGTACCAGGACTATTTTCACAGTCTCACAAATAAGGCCTATGACAGTTCAATCCAAGTAATTCAGAAATACCATATAGCAGTCAAACATCTGATTGACTCACTTATCGAATTTCTGAGAGTCACTAGATTCCAGCTCCCAGGAAAAGCCAAGACATATACTGGAGATGAAGTCTGCACTATGATCATAAGAGAAGTAGGAAAGGTACTGTCTCAGTTAAATTCAGAAATCCAATATGGGCTAAAAATATTGGTGTCCTATTTCAAAGACCTAAGAGAGAAATCAGAATTTGTCAAGGACCTAACATTAAAATTTCCTTTTGATTCGACAAAGTACAAACTAGTCGATGAATTTCTGTGGTCTATAGAACTGTTGAAATCTTTTTCAGAAGATTTCCAAAAGACATTTGATGACCTTCAGTCTATCAAGAGTATAGAGATGCTCACTAATCTTCAGGTATTTCTACATAAATGTTTCTGGGTGATAGAAAGTAACATAATTCATTTAAAGGAGAAGAAACTGTCTTATTTCATTAATGGTTTCCAACATGATGTCATAGGAGGTTTCAACAAATACATTTCATACATTTTCAATTTCCTTAAAGAAAATCTATATCTTAACCTTTGTAAATTTAATGAACTTGTTCAAAACAAATTTCAGGAAGCTTCTCACGAGTTACAGAAGCTCCACCAGTATATAAAGGCTCTTCGGGAAGAATATTTTGATCCAAGTATGGTTGGCTGGACAATGAAATATTATGAAGTTGAAGAAAAAGTAATGAATCTGATCAAGCACCTAGTAATCATCCTCAAAGACTTGCATTCCAACTATGCTGACAGTGCTGCTCGCTTGGTATTTGGAAATATCCAGGAATATCTTTGTATCCTTATGGATGAAGAGGGGAAAGGGAATGAGAAGATGGCAGAGCTCTCAGCTCCTGCTCAGGATATAACAAAAAGCTGGACCACTACAGTGAAGGAAACCCTTTCTGCTTACCACCAACAGTTCAGATATAAACTACAGGGTCTGTCAGACCAACTCTCTGTTTGCTATGAAAAATGTGTTTCTGACATCCAAAGGGTGATTGACCTGACCATTCAAGAGTACCTCATGTTTCTGAGATATATCACCGAGTCACTGAAAAAGCTGCAATTGAACACAGCCAATGATTTGAGCCCCTACATCAAGGTTGCCCCAGGAGAACTCATTATTACTTTCTAATTTTTCCAAATAATTCTCATTTATTCCCCTGTCCCAATTAAACATTTACCTAGTTGGGGAAATAATTCAAACTGTTTGTGTTGATACAACCATATATTGAGCAAGGCTCTCAGAAATGTGGTGACCTGCTAGAAGTCACTAGACCAACACTTGCCACAGCTGGGTAGGAAGCCAGCCCTACAGCAAGCAGCTAACTACAAGCAAAACACATAAGAACCAGACCTGCACTGAAGCTGGCATCAGAGTTCTTAAGGTCTCTGGAGTCTTAGGAACATTTTTTCAAGTTAAACAAAATAATCATGTTATTTTGGTAAACTTGAGATGGGGATGGGGGGGCCACAAATAAATGAATTATGTACCATACCACTCAACGTGACGTATTTGTATTAAAAGATAAAGGTATAAGGGCATTGATTCAAATGTTCTGGCAATTCAAGAACTCTAGAAGAACATTCACTGTGGTTTGAGTGATAGAGTAAAAGGGGAAAATATTTTGCCATCTGAAAGGGCAGTAACTGATTGGTCTCAGGGATAGCATTTGCCAAGTGAGAAGGAAAAACTATTCACAAAATCTATCACATAATTTGATCTCAAAGAGTATCCATCTTGTCTTCATATGTTGCAAGATCTTTTTCAACAACCAATAGGTCTTTGCCAGGCATGGCTCTCTTTTGAACTGTGAGATAAGCCAACAAGTCCTCTATTTTATTTAGCCTGTGGAGAAGGGATGGTCAGGTAGACTAGTCCTTGGGGCTTTAAGGCAGTAGGAATTTCAGAAGGCTCTGTTCCAGAGAAAGCAGGTGAGGATGGGAGAGGAGGGACATTTCTGGAATTTCTGGAATTTCCTGATTTTTCCAAATCTAATATCTAACAATCCCAAGGGTAGCTAAAACTCAAGGAGTTCGCCTGCCACATCCAGTCATCTCAAACCATTTCTAACATCCAATCAGAGTATCCAAGCTGAGCACTAGCAGGTTGCAAAGCACCTATGCAACACAACTGTCATTTAATTCCTTTGGGAAAATGACACATAAAAACAGCACATTCCAGTTAGTTTCACTGAAGAATAAAGAGGATAAGAAATTGAAGGTTGCCCCCATCCCCTACTGCCAGTCCTATAAGATGTCTGTTTGGAAAAGACTCTTTTTTACCCCAGGATACCTGCAACCTCTAACATTCTGTTGTCAAGCCTTCACACTCCTTGGTGAAGCCCACGGTTAAAACACACAATCATTACGTACAAAAAGAAGTGTATTTGTCTATTGCTACTTTAAAGAATGCTGGTGGCACTGTGGATTAAGCATTTGGCTGGTAACCACAAGCCCAGTAGCTCTAACTCAACAGTCACTCCATGAGAGAAAAGTGACGCGATCTATTCCCATAAAGGTTTACAGTCTCAGAAAGTCTAAGTAGTGTCATTATGAGTCAGAATCCACTGAATGCCAGTAGGTATTGGCACTTGAGCAAGTTTCTTTTGTCTAGAATTGAAGAGCCAAAAGAGTCTGCAAGAAGTGGAATCTATATGATAGTTCTGGCTGTGGCAATCAAGGACAACCTGCTGGATATTAAATGGATGAATGCCTGTGTGTATGGATGTATGAGGGGTCCATTTGGAGAGTGGGAAATGGGTAAGAACTAGTTTCAGATCACAAGGCGCTACATGAATGGTTCCTGTTATCGTCTGTAGGTTTTTAATGAAGTGCTAAAAAAACAACAGGAAGTTTAGTTAGTGTCCAAACTGAATGGAGGCATAGCATTTAATTTGGGAAGTAAGGGACAGTCCAGTGTTCCTGATGCTCCTATGAAGATATCTGTTCTTGTTCTGAAAGGAGGAAAAATAGCCCCAAATCAAACTGACAGGGTAACCACTACTGTTACTCCCTCTCAGCTCCATGACGAGTATTCCTCCTATGAGATGCCTCTGGCTGTGTTAGAATGTCTTCATCCTGCTCAATAAATTTAATAGAAAGAGAGATCTTTTAGGGGGGTTAAACTGCTTTCTTCCTCCTTTGATCTTCTAATGTGTATCTGGATACTGCTCTGGGTTCAATTAATGGCGACATTTCTTACTTGCTTGGTGTTTAGAAAAAAATATTTCTCTTCCACAAGCCTCAGTTGTCTAGCTTGTAAATGGGGATATAAAATCTATCCTGCTTGCTTTGCAATCAATTCAAATAATAGATATTAAAGAGTTTATAGCCTATAGTGTTGTATAGAAACAAAATGCCATCATTATTAAGATTATTTAAATAAGCTTACGGTGAGGAGAATGGAGACAGAAAGACCTATCCAATTCAATGAGCATTCATTAAAAACCTCTGTGTACTAAGTACTGTGGTGGGCACAAAGAAAAATCAGTAAGCTGTACTCCCCGAGTATCTGTCTGTCCACCTATCAAAGGAGGCCTGGTATGGCGCTGTGGGTTAATGCGCTGGACTGCAAAGTCGGTTTGAACCGCAAGGTTGGAGGTTCAAGCTCACCAGTTGCTCCTCGGAAACCCCATACAGGGTTGCTATGGGTCAGAACAGACTCGACAGCACTTAACAACAACAATGACCTACCAAAGGTGGGATGTTGTCTCATGACAGGTAAAGTACTGTGATGGTTTAAAGTAGGAAATGATGTGGACCAGGAAAGTTCTCATGGAAAAGATTGAAATGAACTTTGATGATGCATAGGATTTTGACAAACAAATAAAGGAGAAAGATTATTCTAGGAGGAGGGAAATATGAGCTAAGAAAGATAGGTGGGTGTGATTGAAACACACTGAGTCATCTAGTTTGATCACAGCACAGGGAAAGAAAGAAAGATAGGACTATAGTGACAAGTTTGGCAGCATTATAGAATATGGCAGAGGGTTTCCTGAAGAAGGGCATCCAATGGGAGTTTTTGAGAAGGGGGGTGATGTGAGTCATGATTTAGGAAGACTGATATTGCAACATGTGCAGATGAATCTTGACATCAAATTGTGTCAGGCTCTAACTGAAAGATGATGTGGACTTTGGCCAAATCACAGATGCTGGGAGTGATAAGGAGAGGTTAGATACAAGAGGCATCATAAAAATAAAATTGATAGAACCAAGTGACTAATTGTTTAGAACAGAAGGAATGCATGTAAAACTTATTAGAAATGGAGATGTCTTGATAAATTACTGGTTCCAGGGAGTAGAAGGATTACAGGGGAAATAGGAGGAGCAAGAAAGAAAAAGAAGTAAAGCAAACATCCCAGTTATGAAATTGTGAAGAGTTGTGGAGTCCTGGTGTGGCACTATAGGATAAGCACTGGACTGCTAACCACAAGGTCAGTGGTCCAAATCCATCAGCCATTCCTTGGAAACCCTGTGTCACTATGTCCTTGGTCGCTATGAATTGTGCAACCATCTTGATGGCACAACAACATAGTTTTCAACAGAAAGAGGAGGAATATGCTGAGGAGAAGATTGTATGAAGGGGCGTCAAGACATTTTTTGGAAAAATCTATTATCTTTTAGTTCCATTTCCCCATGAACTTTTTGAAGCCCCCTTATAATTGTATGGCATAGGCTCATAAGCAGACTACTACAACTGGAATTAGGGGATCATATGGTGAGTTTCAAGTCACACAGATGTATCCAAGAGGAAATATCTAGGAAATAAATTGGAGATATGGGCTAGAGAAACAATATTCAAAGGAATAGAGATGAAAAAGACTGTTGACCAATTAGTCTATTGATTTTATGCCCTTATAAATACCTTTAGATACTTAACAAGAAAACACATTTTCCCTCTTATACAACTAAGTCATTGGCCTATTGTCCTGAGAATGTGCCAACATGTACATCTCCTAAGAACATACTGTGAGATGATGTGGAAAGTCCTGTTATAAACACAGCTATTCCTCCTGTAAAACAAATATTCAAAGTTTAAAACTGATAGAGAAATGAAATAATGGAGCCCAGCTTATTATCTGCTGGGCCACTGGAACCTCTGAAGGATGATCAAGCTGTGTGCTTTGGTTTGACTCCAAATCTAGACTGGTGATACTGTCCCCCAGCTAAAATGGGTAATAAATGGGTCCATTCTCAGGGAGGCACCACTAGGTGCCTTTGAAGATACTTCAATATTTATGTTTTCACTTGAAAGTTGTCCATTAAGACCAATTCTCTTTTTTTGGTAAGATGAGCAAAGGCTCCTCTGACTTTCTATCCTAGGTCCCCCTTCTGACTCTAATTTATGGCTTAGTCCCCATTCAGTCAGAGAAGGGGCCAAGCTGGCCCTCAAATGGGGCCTGCAATATGGGATCCAGGGTGGACAAACAGATGTTCCCTCTAAAAGTGTCTAATAACCAGAGATAAATGTGCAGAAACAGACCCTACCTCTTAGCTCATCTCCTTGTCTTGCTGTTTCACATTAAGAGGTCAGCACAACTCCCTTCAGAGCTCTGCATTTGTTGGTGGGATGGTTGGGTGGTCACCAGCAAATAACATTCCAGTCTCTCATAAAAGTTGGTGGAGTAGGTGCATGTGTTTCTCTGAGGTGAGGATCCTGCCTTTCTCCTACAAACCACTCACCCCTCCCTGAGGTCTGAGCATTGTATCGAATCAGTGATGCTTGGGGCACTAGGCATTAACCTCTGACCCTTATGGCAACTTTACCTCCTGGACTGGCACCACTGAGGCCTAGATTTGGAGTAAGAGAAATGATTCAGACCTTGGAGTTGACCTAGAACATGAGTTTCAGACCTATAACTCCACCCTTGTTTTAAAGCTATGTCTAGGACTCTCAGCTATGCTACACAGGCACCAAGGCAAGTTAAGCAGAAGCATTCAGTTAGTGGCATATGGAAATGGGAGTTTGCTCAATAGCTCAATTTCATCAACTTTTCCCAAGTAGACTCTTCACTCATTTCTCTTCTCTTCTACAAATGAAGCCCACCCAGGCTGGAACCTAATTCCCTGTTGAAATATGAGTTCCAGAAAAACTCAAGTTGTACTAGGACTGGGCTCGATAAATTCAAGCTA